AAAAACAAATTAGATTTTGTCATATATATCATATAAATCTTATTTCCTTTTTTATATTTATCAAGTAGATTATTAAAATCAATATATATCCAAATCTTAGATATATTAATTAATACATGTGTAAAGATTTTTTGAGGTCAAATACATTTAGGTTTACATACCCAGAATTTCATGGATTATAATATTTTGCCTTATATAATAACCTATTGTGCTCTCTCAATCTTCTCACCAAACAATTTTTAATTTCGATAATCTCATCTACAAATTTTAATTCAGTTTTTTTCATTAAAAAATATAATCGATTAATCACTTTTTCGATAGGTGAAATAGATTACGGCAATCTATTTTAGTTGTGAGATTAATAAAAAAAAACTCTAACTCAATTTTGTTTGTTTTATTATTTACCACATATATATCATCACATCAATGACTATTTAACCGAAAAAATCATCAACTATTTAACATTAGACCAATGTTTATTGTCATATAATAGTACGCCATATTGGAAAGTGGGAGGCGAAAATTTTTATGAATAATAATGAGATTATAGGAATTGACTTTTTTTTTTACTTAATGAAAATGTTAGTGTCTTTTATTTTATATCAATAAGAGTATTAATGTATTAATAATTACTTGATTAATGTCTAACTATAATTTGATTTTATTTTAACGCAGGAAAATATGTGGATCATTTGCTTCTTGCAAAATTTGGGAATCAATTATGTAAAAGAAATCTTATTAAACAATTTTAAATTTTTTAGTTTGCAACTAAAAATATGAGATTCAATTCGTCAAGATTTTGGAAAAATAGATATATAAGTAGATACATAAAAGAAAAAAAACCTAATTCAATTAGGAATATAAAAAAACTAATTATTTGAAAATATGTAACAAATTTAATTGGAAAAAAAATAATATAATAAAAAGAGCAAAACATCTTAATAACGGTGATAGTTCTCTATAAGTGGTTTTGACTTTTGGTGTTTCGTTTTTTCATAGGCTGTCAAA